TATTGTCGTTTCACTTTATCACGCACCATGTGTCTTTTATATTCAATTGTGGTTCATTTTATACGATGCACATTTTTATAAGTGCTGCATTATTTTTAACATTTTCATTCTTATTTAAATTTTGTCTTTTTAACATTTTTTTTTGTAGTACACGAAATTGCTGGCAATAAAAAAGTTAGCTTTTGAGCTATAAAAACTTAAAAATTATATGCTCAATTAATGAGAAAATCGTGTAAAGTATATTAGTAGACATTACACTTAGTATTTTAAATTAGCGATTTGAAAAGCAAATCGTGTATCGTTAACAAGCTTAAACCTAGAAATTAATATTTCAAATACAGGACACTATTAAGTTTTAAACTGACATGAACTATTCATAAAGTTAATAGTGAACCTATTTTCATCGAAATTAAACAAAAGCTGGTAAAGAAATCTGGAAAATGGCTGATTAGTAACTTGACTCATCTTTCTCATTCAAATTTGTAATTTTTCAGATGGATTTATCTTACACTGCTCATTATAAAAGACAAAATTAATGTATAAATGCTACAGCACTGAATAACGTAGAATTAAATGAACGACTTTTTGATTTGAGGTGCTCGAAGTGTATATGAAAAAATAGAATTAGGAAAAATGATGTAGTTCTAACACAGGTGTATCTCGAACATTTTTCTGATGCTGAATTTACATGCACATGATAAGTAAATAACCAAAAATATAAATATTTACAAACGTCACAACAAATGCGTTTTAATCCTAAATGAAGCAAAAATACAACAACTTGTTAATATTAATACCAATAAAGGAACAAAAAACAAACTGAATTGCATTCTGTAATGCAATATTTATGAACTCAAGAGCTTTTAACCAATGAGAAGTAAAAAAGACACGTAAAAATATTCATGAAAAATTGATTTTTATTCATCCCATCTCACCTCTTTTACTCTTTTCTATATGAACATGACTGTATTATAATTATGTGTTGCCTGTACATCGAACTTCCACAATACTGTAAAGATATGATGTGCATATATGCATTGGCCATTCAAATAATGCTCATGTGGATTTTTCTCGTAATTGGCTTTTTGTGAATATATTGCATACTATACGTTTAATAAATAACACTATAATTTACATTAAAATGAATATCATTTATCATTTTTAGCTAGTCAATCCTGCCACCCAGGCAGTAAATTTTCTACTGTATCGCTTCTTTTTATATTGATGGTTGACATGTAATGAAGCTTGTTTTTTCGGCTGTAAATTTATGAACGATGAACTTTGATCTATACTGATGGTAAATTATTCAACAGAGAGTAAAGCTACCGATGTGCAGCTTAGCACTGTTATAAATCCCTATAATATCCAAAAAATAGATGTTCATTTATCATCTCATAATGCCCTTAATCGTTTTTTTTTCTCCTTTTTTCTTTTGTATTCCATAACTTAAACCGTATTGAAGCTTTACTTTCATTAATTCCTTTCTCATTAATATTGGCATCCAAAGTAGTGAGGAAGATGGAAAGAAAATTAAATATCGAGAAGATCTCAGCATGACATCCACAAACATCATTTTAATTTAATAAAAGTCATAAGATGAACTAAAAAAGCGAGATGAGAGATTTCTTCTTTCCGATAAACTTAGCGCTAATCATCTGCCGCGCGTGATTAAAAATAAATATCAATAATTTATAATTTTTTTAACATTTTTCTTCTCCTTTTTTGGGAAATATAAATTTTGTTATTCTTTATAAATTTAATTAATTTGGATATTTTTGTTTTCAACACTAATGATTTAAAAATATTCCAATTGAAATAAATAAAAAATAAATAACACTTATGATTTAACGTAAGGCCGTTAGATCACAGAGTTAAATATTTATCATATTGTCATATTTTTGGTTCGCTTAATTCTGAAAAAGGTCCAAAGCAGTGTCACACTTAATTCAAAAAAAAATATATTGTGTTAAAATGGGATGATATAGGAGTCAAAATCTTACTTAATGGAGCTTTTAAAGGTTTTATAATAACATGTCCAGACTAACCGAGCCTGTTTCCTTTGATTCATTTTCATATTCACATTCAATACTAGCTTTTACACCACTTCTAGCAACTATTAAAAAAAAACCTTTACCTATTCAGATCAATTGTGATCCAGAGGTGCGCTAGGGCGTTTTGCAGCTAATGAGAGTTTAACGGGATCCGAATCACTCCTTTGCTTACATTTCTGCCTGTAGCCTACAAAGGAAGGCTGTGAGCCCCATTTCCAGTACATGATTCGAAAAAGAACAAGTGAAAAATTTCTCATACCCAGTCTCGAACCCATGATCGCTGTATCGGTATTGCAATAATTAGGTACCCAAGTACTAAACCATCCCGCCACCGAGCCACTTCAGCTCAAAACTATTAAAGATATTTTAAAAGGAGCTAGAAAAATTATGAAATTATTTTCAAAAAAATCTAAACAATAAACTGTTCTGAAGTAGCATAAAAATTTATTTAATTTATACTTTATTTAATAAATTTTTTTATTTTAAATCATCTTCATTGATATTCCAGAGCCAACAGAATAGATTGGTATTTCTGTGTAGAACAGACTTACTGGCCAACAAAAGAATTTTTTGATTTAATTTATTTATTTTTTTATTTCTTTCTGTCCTTTTCGATAAAATAAGATATGTCCAAATCATGATTGCTGCTGAAATAAAAATTAAAAAACAAATTGAAAGAATTCGCTCGCAAAAATAAACTTTAGAAAGATAGCAAAAAAGAATCAAAAAAGAATTTTCGAGTGCAATATTTATGAGGAATCTCATGAGTGGTTCTGTGAGACATTTCTTGTCTCTTTGTATTTCAATTAAGATAAAAATTCAGACAGACATGCTGACAACTATTTTTCAATGAAAACAATCGGGAATTTCGTTGAAGAACTTTTTGTTTTCAAAATAAAATCAAATTCACTTATTTGTTTCCATCTTCCAACGTTATTTTTTATTGTCTTTTTAATGTGATCGTTTATGGTCAAATTAATTGATCAATTTAAGTTGAACACAAATAAATATAAATGTGCAATAAATGATGACGATGATGATGATGATATAGAGATTAAATGAATGCGATAATGAAGATGTCAATGAAAAAGGTGCGATGTGACTGTCATTTTAATGAATTTAATACAATCATGAAGTTTAATTGGTACTTCATTTTATTTTGTTTATTATTCAGCGAACGTATATGTGACGATTTTTGATTTATTCTATTTTCATAAAAATATTTCAGAATTCATTTATTTTTTTTATTTTTCCATGGAAGTCATCAAAGGTATTTTGGACTTAGTGTATCTCATTTATTATTGGGTCGTTTGAATACTATGTAACTTAAGGCTTGCATTAATATGGGCTCTTGTAATTAATGCAAGTAATATTACATACGTCTATAGTTAAAACTTTATGAAGCTACCTCATTGTATATTTTTTGGGTTATAAGAATTATGCCAATCTTAATATCTTTTTATTCTATTAGGGTGTTGATGTAATATTAGGATTTTAATAAAATTATTATTTGGCATTTTAATATTTTAATTAATTTGTTTAACGATTATTTATTTTTCAAATTTAAAGTTTAAAAAAATAATATTTTTCTGGAGCTTTATCTAAGCTTTTTTTGAATTTTTAAAAAGCTACAATGTTCAACAATTTAATAAAACTTTTACAAGAAAGCTTATTTTCAAGTGTATTAGACATTGTATTTATTTTCCCAACAAACGAATTTTTATCCTCTTATCACAGACACATTTTAAAATTTATGGTATCTCAATATAAAACATTAGTTAAACCAACTAGCGTAATATGTGATGAATATTAAATGTACATTTCTTGCGCATCTGTCTATTATCAAGATTATATTATATTTTATACAATCATTGTGTAATAGATTCGTTTTTAAAATAATTGAGATTCCTTTATTAACCGTAATGCGTTCTCAGATGAGTGTCAAAAAGTTATGACAATCATAAATTATGATCAGTTCTGTAATTTTCTTAAAATTTGAAACTTCAATGGCCCTACAACATGTCGTTAGCAAAAAAATTGTTTAAATTAATTAAGTTGATCTTGAATGTGAATCAATAATTTTTGAAAAAAAAGGGTTTCTGAAATGAGTGACAATCTGTACAAAAGAGAATGTTATTGTTGTATGATAATTTTGTGACAGAGTAATGAGAGGGAGTATTTAGTATCATTAATAGTGAACATGCTTCCTTTGAATTTTTATTTACCACCTGTTGTAAATTAAAAAATCATTGATATGTTTTATCATCACGAGTTATCGTCTCTTGTTAATTATTACAGCGAGGATATATAAATGAAATTAAATTGCCATGACAGTAAATATTTTTGGCATAAATCTCCAATTATTGACCACTCAATTAACATTATCTTGACAACAATTTCCCTTTCTGATTTTTCCACAATTCACAATATGTTTTTGAAAATATTCAACAAATCTTGAAATTCGATTTGATCATGTGATTGTTTTAACACTAATCACGATTTTGATAAGTGAGAGAAATTTTTTATTACTCCTCTTTTTATATCAAAGAAAAATGTTTAAATAAATTTAATAAACATTTAAAAATGTGTCAAATATTTCACTTTCATTTTCATCTAACCGAACTAGTGTCAAATGCCTAGAATGTATTCTAATGAAAAATATTAGTCACTGTTAAAACGTTAAGTGTCGTTTGTGAGAGAACCCTACATCTTATAATGAGTAAGCTGTTAGCACACCACTTAGCATTTATTATACATGTATGTATCTTTAAATTAACGAGCAAGCATGCAAATAATCGATATTGTACCAAAGTATGGTGTTTTTAACTTCTCAACACACTCACATCAATAAAATGTTTATATACATAGCACAAATGTGAAGAAGAAGCGCGGCAACTTTCTCCGCATAATAAAAACATTTGGTAGCTTATTTCCTACAACCAGTCGATCGTTGGATTTATTTTGCTTCGAGACTTAGAGTGATATAGACGTCTCTCGATACGGAGCTGTTGCTTGTGGTTAGTTTTTTCTTTTAAATTTAATTTTGTTTGTGATTTTTTTTTTTGAATCTTCTTCTCTAAAGTTTTTTGGAAGTTTTTTGCATTGTGAAAACAAAATTTTATAGTAAATAAATAAAATTGTGAGAAAAAAATTGTGATCATATCAAATATAAATGGGATAGTAAAATTATTATTAGTGTGTGCGCGCGAGTACTTTTTTATTGTAAAAAAGTCGAGAAAGAAGATATTTAATTTGTTTAAGTGAAATCTCAACATTAAGGTTTTGTTGACGGTAGTTTAAAGTGCACTAATTTTTTTAATTTTCATCTTTTCGATAGCATCCGTTTTGTCGAGTGCGTGTCAAAAAAGTTATGTCAAAAGTAAACTAAAAATTAAAAAAAAAAGTTTGACATTACATACGAATAAAACAATTAAAACATTTAAAAGTGATACAAGAATTTTACACATAAAACGAGGAGTCACGAAATTTCAAGGATGAATTCTCATCTTGTAAAATCGTACATAGTAATTTTAATAAGGTGAGTAAATCAAATTTATCCTTGAAAAACCAAAACAAACAACTATAACGAAAACAAAATCAAATCGGACTGATGTCACAATAAAAGACAGGATTGCATAATGCAGCTTGCTTTTTTTTTAATCCACGATAAGTTTTTGTATAAAAACAAAAAACACCTTGCGTAATATGAATGCGCTTTTAAAATTCTTGCAAATTGTTCTTCCGTTTGTATTTACGAAGCAGGCAAAATTGTTATCTAATGGAATGGATCTTCTAACTTTATGGTCATTTAAGCCAAACATAATTTTAAACAAAAACTTTTTTCTATCGATTTATTTGAGAATTAACATCGATTACCTTTATCAATTAACATCCATGCTTTTACCAATTTTATAATTCTTCAATTCATACCCGGAAAGAAAAAGGCAGCTCTCTGTAACTCTATTATATCAGTATCTTTTGTTATCCAATTCACATCTTTTTTCACATTTCTTCTTCTTTTCGCGTTTACAATTGCAACACTTGTGCATTTCACGTAAACTCAGGTTTAAGCTAAATAATGGAAAGGTGCTGCTTTTTGAGGAGTTTTTGAGCGTGTCATCAAAAGCTCTGCTTACATACGCCTTATCTGATGAGACTTATTGGAAGGAAAAGTAAATGAAAGAGAAGCGTAAAGACTAATTGAAAGAGAGAAAAAATTTACTGGATATTTTTATTCAAAAACGAAAGAAATGTAATGTCTGGCAGTGACTATAAAACACGTTTCTCTCCTTCATGAACGCTACACCAACAATACTTTATTATTTTTTATTTTTACTTTTTTTTTTGTTGCTTTTTGAATTTAAAGAAAGTTCCTTTGAAACAAGTAGTTTTTTTCGTAATTCAATCATTGAACTTGTATTTTCCTCACTTGAACTTAAAGTCAAAAAACTTGATTTCAAAACCAGACCATGCAATTTAGGGGTCGTTCACTTATGACTTCCATCAAAAAACCTGATTTTTAGACCCCCCCCCCCCCCTCTGTCACAAAAATTCTATAGAAAAAAATTTCCATTGTTTGAACTGTCACAAAATCTTAGACCCCCCTCCCCCCTTAAATGTCGGACGTCATAAGTGAACGGCCCCTTATCTATCTATATACATTGATTAATTTCCTGGAATTAAGAAATTATCAAAATGATAGCAATCGGAAATATCAAGAAAATCTTACCTGTTTTATTTAATTCCGTACAAAAATTTCTTAATTTTTTATTTAAATTGCTATCAAAGTTTTAATGTTGAACTCCAATTATTATATTATAGCTATTTCCAAAAGGACTCATAATAACTTGCTCATTATTATCGCATGCTAAAATTTGCCAATTAATGCAAAAAAAAACGTAGTAAATCCTGTTTTGTTCCCAATTCGATCGTCCTTATTATCACTTAACTATTTTCGATACTGAAAAGAGCATCAAAAAGATGAAATTCAGTCAAAACAAATTCCACCCGGATCTTTTGAGAGTCCAAATTTATCTCATACACCTGAATGTATGTATTTGCCTTTTTGCACATTTAGTATTTCTTAAATTTTCGAAAGAAAACAGTCATGTGATGATGATTAACATTTTTTATTTTCCTTTTCATAAATTCATAAATTAAAATCGTGACTCTAAAGGAGAAAAAAGCAGAAGATTAAAATGTTAACAATGAGGTTTTAAAAATTTATATAGAATTTTGTTATTTAATTAGAATTCAAGAGTTTAGTTTACTTATTATCGTCCAAGCCAACTTTCAAAGGCTCTTAAAGCGGATCTTTTTGAAGATAAAAACCAGTTTTAGACACTTTAAGAATAATAAAGACTGATTCATGGAAAACATTTCACAATTTAGAATATATGCAACATCAGCTAAAACTCCCACTTTAAATTTAAGCATTCTTTATGAATGTCAAAATTGAGTTCATAAAACTTGATTTCATTTCACCAACACTTTTGTCTCAAAATAAACTTCTTCTTTCTCGACAGTTTCTCGTGTTTCATTATTATTCCGAAATCCGCAATTTAAAATTAAATAAAAAAGAATTTTGTTGACTGACGGCTTACCGGTATTCTGTAAGCACATACGTGACAAAGACAATAGAATGTTATGTAAAAAACAAGTTCCGAAAATATTTCATAAAGGTCATTTTACGAAGCGATTGTCATAGAAATTTTCTTTTATATCAAACATAGAATTAACAACATTACTTTATTTTTATTTTATGACTCTACAGCAAGCGAAATTTGCTTAATAAAATCCTCAACTAGCTTAAATCATTTGAAGTTGCCATTATAAATTTTACTGGATACATGAGCAACAAAAATGCACACGTGCAGATTATTTTTATCGATTTTTGTGGAATGAGAAAAACGAATCTTGTTTTTTTTCTCGAAATTTATAAAAATAGAAATAATATTTTTTCAGTCTAAGAAAAAGCTGTAGTTGCTCGTTAATGGCTATAAACTGTTAAACGAGAATGGATTCGCAAGAACTAAGTACATAAAATTTAACTATTTGCTGTATGAAATACGATCCTTAAACCTATTCAGAGTAACTGTAAGCTTCGTTCTAATAACAACGAGTTTATGAACAACGTGTAACAAGGAGATGAAGAATTAAAAAATGGAGAATCAAGAAACTTAAACTTGAACCTAATAAGTATTAGGATACACTATGAATGATTCAAAAAGCAATAGTTCCCGAACTAATATTTGAGTCCTTCAATTCTAATCATTTAAAATGAGAAAGGCAATAAATTAAATTACATGTGGATGCATTTTGTTATTTTTATTTAAAGCAACCAAATTTAATAATTAATGAATGTTGATAAAATATAGAAAAGTATTGAAACAGACCCAAAAAAAATCTTAATATTATTCTTTTTTTAAACTGGAAATTCTGCATTTTAGTGCAGACGTGACTGTTTAAGTTTTAAGTGTGAAACATGTCAGAACTAATCATAGATACAAGACATTTGGATCATCCAAAAAAAACAGCGAATAAATTAACTTGGCAACAAATCATAACATTTTTGATTAAATGACGATACTTTAGAAACGACATTTCATGAATCCTCACAAGTTTTGCATCAGAAAAGAGTCAATATTCCATTTCAAGGTTCTCTTAAGATAACAAATATAAGATTTAAAGCTTTTAATTTTACGAAAATATATGCCTTCTTGAAATTAATTTCCATTTTATTGCTAACTATGTAGACTGCCTTAGGTAAGTCAAAATATAACAAATAAAATCCGGATTATACGAGTCATTAAGGGAAATGTATACTTCTTCATTTTCTAACTTTATGGACCTTCTAGTAGTTTTAAACCTTGACAACAGCTTATTCGTCATATGGAAAAAATTGCCAAGAGCTTTTTAATTTTTGAAGATATTGTGTAATTCAATTTTTTGATTATGTATTTACGGATAGAAATATTTTATTTTAAAACTTTCGTCAAGCAGGAGTTTATTTCCCTAATACCATTTCTGTTATTACGTCCTTGATACTTGGTAAATCTTCGCTTTGAAGTCAAACAGAAATCTCTTGATTTAAGTGGTACGAGAAAGACGAAAAAAATAATCATGCTAAGATTTATTCGTAGTTAATTATACTGTCAATAAGATTATTTGTTATATCCACGTACATACAAAGTAAATATTTTGACAATAAATTTCATTTGACTTAAAAATCCCAAAATGTCATACAAATTTTTTTTCCTTCTGTTTGTTTTATTATTTTGCTAATTTTCAATGCTATTTACATTCATTCCTATAAAAAGAAGTTAATTCAATTATAAAAAGAAGTTTGCATTTTTTTATTGCTCTAACACCTTCAGTGCAATAAGCACGTGGGATTGTAAGACTCATTTCTATTATTGCACGACAAGGTGCCATAACTTACGAGATTCATTACAATAGCAACTTATGTTTTAGTCTGACTGCATAGTCAATGCTTAATTACAGTATTTTAATACATTTGAAATCAACACTATTTAGCATCAACATTGGATTGGATTTTTCTAGATTTTTATGGAACTGATAACTTTAATTTGAATTCATGCTAAGCAATTTGATAGAAAACTTAGTTCAGTTACCAAAGTCCTAATAATGATTTTTGTCCTCCTTGACAAGTTGGAACTTAACTTAATTCAATTCTGACGTAATTTTAGGTTTTCTGTATAAGGCATATTATTGGCATACTTTTGTTATTTAAAGCGCAAAATTAAACAAATAAAAAATGAGAGATTGAGGATTTCTCCAGTCCCATTTTACTGTAAAATTTCTCTCGATTGAAAAATCTGTGTTTTAAAATTGTCACCTGACTGGTCTGAATTCCTCTTCTTTATATTTATGCTATACATTTTATGAACACTTTTGCAGTACTCAAAATATTTAGATTACTCATCACTTAATATATTTAAAAAATCTTAGAAGAAATCATACTTTGTAGAATAAGATCGTTAAGCTCATAGGATATTAATACAAAATTTAATTTCAATTGCTTGAAAATCTGATTTCATTAGTGAATGGTCAGATAAGCACATAATAATGTAATTGTCTACAATTTATAATCAATGAAGAGTATCTTTATTATCCAATTGATCTTATTATTCCAACTTTCACAATTTTAGTCACACGATGTTATAAAAATTTACGATTATTTAATAGAAACTCCACATACCAAACTGGTAACAATAAGCATATTAAGTTATTACCCAAGAGAGTTTAATAAAATTCTTTTAATTTTATGAAAATTGTAATAACGTCATCGGAAGGAATCGTGTGTAGCATCAATGAGTATTTCAAAAAAAAAAAAAATATTGTAAAAAAGACTTGAATATTAAAGAAACCAACATAGTTAAACAAATAAGTGAGTTAATAATATTCTGTCACGTATTGGGTTAAGGTCAATAGTAAATTTTGTTTTTACTCCTATTCCGCAATTGCAATGATACAAAAATAATAATGATTTTCAAATTTGGTTCATTATTTTTCGAA